TTTCCTTTATCACTTCTCCAGTTATCCCTGTTGAGCAAATCCACTACCTAAGACTCCATCTGGAAAAACGTCTGACTTGGAATCCTCATACCAGTCTGAAACGATAAAAAACCGTTCGACGTTTCCGATTAATTCAGCACTTACTAGACAAATGCTCTAAACTTCCAATTAATTACAAAAGACTCGTATACATGAATATAATAAGGCCTATTTGGATTTATGGAATTGAGCTATGGGGCTCCACTAAACCATCGAATTCCTCTCGTATCCAATCCTTACAATCCAAAATACTTCGTAAAATCCTCAAAACTCCCTACTTTGTTACAAATAAGACCATCCATAATGTTTCTTATGTTTCAGATCTGGCCCGATCCAGATACCTATCCTTCCATAATAAACTTCAGAATCATCCCAACCCTCTCGTTTCTAACCTTGCTTCCTCTTCAATTCCTGATAACCCTCCGAGGCGTCTTAAAAGAAGATCTCCTAATGTAGACATATCATTAAAGTGCTACCATTGGGTAGTTACTCAAAAAGTGTTTTCACGTTCATTATATCCATATGTTAAAATTTACTAAATGTATTTCTTTATTACAGTTGCAAATATCATTAAGAAATAATAAAAACAAAATTGTTAACAAAATAAAGCAAGATTTTGAAAAAAAATATTACAAAAAACAATACTGTTAAGATTCTTTCGGTGAGTGAAAATTATTATAACAATTCTAAATAGCAATAAACATGTCGTTTTCTCTGTTCAGAATCCTCCCAAGACATTCGTATTGATAGAAATCTAAATGTTCTGTTTCAATATGTACTTCATTCTGGGATCTGTAAAATTATAGGTAAAATGTCATCATCACACAAATATGTTATGTTAAACACAAAAGCATATGTGATAAGAGGGTTAAGTACAGCCAGTAGTAGTGTATGAAAATTTCCGTTGATACAAAAGTATATATTGAAATCTAGTAAAGGTATAATAAAATTAAGAAAACTATATTTCCAAGCAGAATACTTCAGAATTAAATTGAAACTGCTGCTGTTAATGTATTGTGAATTTCAGGAGGTTTGTTTGTGTGGGATTTAAGGCGTAAAACCTTAGGGTCATCAACGCCTATGAGTATGTTATTTTGATTGTATGTTCAGTTTAGAAACTCCTTACAAGAGAAAAAAAAAAGAATAAACAATCTAAAACCAATAATAAATGAAAGACGTTTAAGGACATATGAAAAATGAAATAAATACCATAAAGGAAGGAGATGCTTCGGGGTGGCGGTCATAAATAGGCTAAATAGTGGCATAACTATTTTATTATATAATTTATTATAGAACACCCAAGTCTTAAGTGAAACTCCTAGCTGAACACTATCATAATATAGATAAAAAATACTTGTTAACGACGAGTCAAGGCGATAAGTTTTTGCAACAACATTTTTTTCCTTTTATTATATATATGACGGAGTTATGTTTATTACAACATGTTCCAGGTCAGGAAAAAAGAAAATTTTATTTTATTAATCAAATTTTCTCATGTACTACACAGCTCTCTCATTCTCTCTCTCTCTCTCTCTCTCTCTCTCTCTCTCTCTCTATATATATATATATATATATATATATATATATATATATATATATATATATATATATACACACATATATAAAATGCTTCGATATGAAAACCCCTTGGCTGTATATATTAAATCATTGTATTTAATTAAAAGTTAACCCTAGATTCAAACATTTACATTTGAAATGATAAACAATAAATGATAATTGTTAATTATCATCTCCCTGATGATCACACCTCCCTGAAGAAGATCTGCAAAGTCGGGTCGAAACGTTGCATTTTAATAAAACAGTTTTGCCACTATTTAGCCTATTTATGACCGCCACCCCGGACCATCTCCTTCCTTTATAATGCAACGGTCAACTATTAAATATTCAAAAAAATGCAATAAAATAAAAATTATATTTATTTCTATATTTGATTTAATAGTCTATGGATATTAAAAAAAAATTATATCTCTTTTAATATTTGATTCGTTATTGTTTAATAATACCGATATATTCTGCCCTAGAGATAATCTGTACCCTAGCTTGATGTACGATAAGGGAATTCCTGAAAAATATGACAGATAGTTAGTTTTCCTACCGCAGTTTTGACATATGCTAGTGGCTGTTTAATAATGAGACGTAAATGAGCTAGACTTGCGTGTTCAATTTTTAATCTAGTCAACGGCGAAGATTGGAATATATTATATTGTCAATATTATGAGAATGATATTTTATAAATATTGAAGTGACAACTGATTATATCTTTCTTTGTTCGGTCCATTATCAACGGTTTGTTTTTTCATGTAGCTGCGCTTTCACACAGCCTTTAACATTTTTTTCCTTTCCAATTAATGTGCACTTTTAACAAGTTCCCGGACTTTATGCTTCAGCCCTGACAACCAGCCCAATACTGTAGTGCGTAATGGTGTTGTAAAAAAAAACAGGTGCCTTTGAATGAAGAGAGGCAGTTCTAACCTCATTTCCTCAGCGACGACTGCACACAAAGGACGAAATTCTTCAGCGGTTTGGTCATAGCCAACAGTAATGGTCTTTTTCTCGTTGTATATAAGTATATATATACATTTTATATAACATTATTTCATATTTATCAGTTGAAATTGTTAAATTGACATCATCAATTTATCGATAAATGTAGATATTATTAGAAATGTATAAAAAACAATAAAACAAGTAGTTTATATCTAAAACCACCCAAAAAAATAAAATATAATTATTCAGGAAACATAAAAGTTAATGTCTTAAATACAGGTAGATTAATTGTCTTCCAAAAAACAATTAATTATTTATTAATTTTTACATTTTTCCTCTAAAACGGAGCTAACAATTTTGATTAAACTGTAAAATTAAGTAATACTTAATATCTGATAGATATTATGTTCAGTGAAATAATTTGACACAGATTAAATGCTAAATTTTCTTCATCTAAGGTATCTTTAATTTTATTTACTAAAACAAATTAATCATTTCCCATTGTAATTAGCAATAGGAAATTGTTAAATACGAACAAAGAAAACATTTACTTACAAACAAAATATAAGTGTTAAGAAATAAAACTTATGGATGAAACAGCCAAGAGCGCCCGACTTTTCTCGATTCCCCTTCATTCTGCTGCAGAAAGAGCTTTAATATTGTTAGTTTAACTGTTATGTTTCACTTACCCATAATTTTAGAAAAAGATTTTCACGCTTAATATATATATATTTATTTTCTCTTTAGTTATTTATCCGCACCTGCCATGGTGTTGACAATCAGCAGATGTGTTCTGATGATGAGGATAGGCATTAAAGGCATGACGAAGGATAGTACCCAGCAGTATCTTTTCCTGGTCATTAATTTTTTTTTTATTTAGGTGAGAAGATCTCTCATCCAGCTCCTTTTTAATCTCCTCCTAATGGACATGTCAGTTTACCATGTCGGTTATAAATTTCTGTTTGTGTGTCCGTGTAGTTGAGATGAAAACGAGAGTAGAGAGTACGTATGTGTTGGTCTATAGTTGGTTGTCGTAAGTCGTTGTGTAAAGTTTTGTTGTTGACGTACCAGGGAGCTCCTGTTATAAGTCGTATAATTTTGGATTGAAATGACTGTAGTTTTTGTAAGTGCGTCTTTTTTGCCGAACCGTAAATCTGAGAGGCGTATGTCCAGATGGGTTGAGTAGATAAGTGTATGTATTCAGTTTTTACGCTAAATATTAAACGTTAAATATCTACTAATATAATCCTAATAATGTATAATATATAATAATATTATTTCATTTCTATTATTAAATATTATAAACAGCCATAATAAAAAATAGAAAATGCCACAAACGCATAAATCTAATAGATTCAATGGGTGATAAAAACAACATACGTAGGATGATAAGTGCAAATTATGTGATTTTATTGGCCATATTTTTTAAATTATTTTTTTTATACTTAAAAAAAATCACCGATTCGACACACTCTAATTCTATAGCTATTTCATCATAAAACGTTTTTAGAACGAGAATTCCATTTCGGAATTACGCCCACTGAATTCCTGCTAGATTTCGTATTGGTGAGTAGACGCGTTGAAGTTATTATTATGTAATGTCTATTATCCTCTTACTATTATTGTATTTTTTAAAATGTCTACATGCATCACACATGTCAAATGTTTTATTTATAATCGACGTTTATTATAAATTCCTTCTGGAATTTTTAAACAATTGAGTACTTTCTATTTTTGGATTAGGACAAAAAATTAAAGTTTGAAAATAAATTAATGGATACTTTTTATAGGATGTACTAATATTCTTTTCATATTAATAAAAAATTCGAACTCAGTTTAAAATAAATATTTATACTCGGACCGCTGCGAGGAAGTTAGCGAATTGAATAATGCCTTTGTCGGGTCCCATTATTTTGTTGCTAATAATCAATAAGCTTGATCAACGGCTAAAACTCAACTAAAAGAATAATCAACAAACTAGGAGTGATTATGTTATTGAATTCCACCAATATGCAAAAATTAGTGAGAAGATGTCTTGGCTGATAGACAGTCTGATAACGCAGTCAATTTTTAAGATTTTTACTATCAACGTTTTGACCTATGCTTTTGAGTCGTCAGGGTATGTTACCAGTACTGAAGTTTTAAAGTACTGGTCAAGTACCAACAGTACTTGAACACCTTCAGTACTGAAAACATGCCTTGATGATGATCCATAAGCTTTAGTTGAAAAGTTGGCAATAAATATCTTTAAAACCGACTTCCTGACTATCTATCATCCATGATTGTGTACAGAACAATCTACTTTCTTCAATAGGGAGAAGATAATTAATGAAAAAAAGGTAAAAATTAGAAACTAGTAAAAACTATTTTTATCTGAAAAAAACATCATTGATGAAGAAAAGAAATTATGATTTTTATAAATCTAAAATTTAAAAGACGACTAATAAACTTACCCATAGAACTGAGCGAGGACTCTTCTACGACGGCGAGGCTGCTGTTGTGCACGGTGAGGTGCCTGATGTCGATGCCAAGGAAGATGAAGCTCTGCAACTTGGGCAAGTTGTTGTGGCGGAGCTTGAGGTAGTATATGACGATGGAAGGCTTCCCCTTGAGGACGGTCATGGATCGCGTGATGTGGAACACATCCGTGAACTCGCAGAGGATGTCCAACCCGTTCTTCTTGACGGTGCATTGGCAGGGGGAGATCTCCGCGTGGGCGGGGCATTGGAAGTTGCCTTGGGCGGCCACTGCAGCAGCCCACCCTACCAACGTCAGCCAGACCAGCCGCATACCGCCTGTCTAGGACATCCCACCGCCCCCCGTCTGCAACACAGCAAAGGCAACATTTCATCAGTAAAAGAAAAAATCATCTTAAAGGAATTATACTAAAATAAATAATATTATGTTAGAACTCCAATGGTAGTCCCTTGTAATAAAATCTTGTGACATGTTCTTGTAAACACCTTGGAGTGTTATTGGGAGTGGAATACATAAGAAGGTTAGAGTCTAGTGGGTTTGATTAAGTATGTAATCAATGGCGGATCCAAGAATGTACGCACTTGCGAAAAATCTAATCTACAAAGCCATGAATCTCCAACATGTAGATGAAAAATTAAGTTGTAAACGTCTCGACAATTCAGACATAGTCAGAGCAGAAAACCAAGATCACTTATATACAGAAATAAAAAAATATAAATAAATAAAAAAAATATAATAGCGTAGACATCTTATGTCTCTTTTCTAGCTTTATGTTTATTTTAGTACATATTTATAAAGAAGTATTTCAGTTTTTTATTTCGTCAAGTATTTTGCCATCAAATGGCGATCGAAATTCTTTAATTGGATAATTGACGTTTATGAACCTAAAACACGACATTTTCCCAATACATTGAGAATTTTTAGTGTAAATATTCAACTTTTTAAAATAATATTTTTTTTTTAAGTACAAAGCATAAATCAAAATTATTTATTATATTAATATTTTTTAATGTTTCGTTAAAATAATAATTTTTATATATTGTAAAAATATTTTAAAATTATAATAAAAGACTGTGAGATTAAAAGGGTTGTTATAAGAAAATAATCATATATATATATATATATATATATATATATATATATATATATATATATATAGATTAAATATAATAATTATTAAATCTAAAAAGAAAATAAGATATCTTAAATATCTTATAAGAAAATAATCATATATATATATATATATATATATATAGATTAAATATAATAATTATTAAATCTAAAAAAAAAAATATCAATAACCTAAAGAAGGTTTTTATCATACATATAAAGAGGAAAGACCCCTGTTATCCTCAGAACGCTGTAATCTTAAAGAAATTTTAAAAGAATAAGAATTTTTGAAAATGGTTCTTGGAGCCGAAATTTAGAAAATTAATGATTTTTAAATGTTGTAAAAATGTTCTAAAATTATAATAAAAGATTGTGAGATCAAAAAGGTTTTTTTTTTTATATAATCACACATAGATTAAATATAATTATTAAATCATTAAAAAAACTCACAAAAATATGAATAACCTAAAGAACATTATTATTAAAGACAATATAAATAAATAAATATTATTTATTTAATACAATTCACTTTTCAATCATAATAATAATATTTAAAGTAGCGGTTGTTTAGTTACTTTTTTCTCACCTTCCAGAAGGTATGGCGTCTATTGAGCATTGAATTCAATGGTTTTTTGTGGAGCTCTAAAACTCAACTTCGCGTCCAAGTCGTTGTTGTTGGCGTTTATATAAGATTTTAGTAATAAATAAAAAGTTAGCGGTGTATTTCTTGTGATTGTTATTTAGTAATAATAGAATAGTAATAGAAAACGTCAACAATTTCCTTAATTAAAAAAATAAAGACTTTTAATTTTTTTTTTATTTCTTAAAGAAATTTACAACTGTATTAAATAAATACATCTAGTAAATTTGAACATAACGTATATAATGACATAAAGACACTTGCTGAGTAACTACCCAATGGTAGCACTCTAATGAAATGTTTACATTAGGAGATCAGGGGACCATCTTCTTTTCAGACGCCTCGGAGGGTTATCAGGAATTGAAGAGGAAGCAAGGTTAGAAACGAGAGGGTTGGGATGGTTCTGAAATTTATTAAGGTATCTGGATTGGGCCAGATCTGAAACAAAAGAAACATTAAGGTCATTATGGATGGTTTTATTTGTAACAAAGTAGGGAGCATTGAGGATTTTACGAAGGATTTTGGATTGTAAGGATTGGATACGAGAGGAATTCGATGTTTTAGTGGAGCCCCATAGCTCGACTCCGTAAGTCCAAATAGGCCTTATTATAGTCAAGTAAATGAGTCTTACTAGAACAATTGATTTCCGAGGTGTTCATCACTAGGGCAAAAATGTGTTTTTTTTTTTATGGAGATTAGACCTGTACAACTAAATATTTTTTCAATATTAAATCGCTAAATAGATAAAGGAGAACCTAGAGATTCTAAATGTCCAATGGAAAAGTTTATAACTATAATTACTACGGCGGTATAAGCAAAAAAAAAACAAAAATTTCCCTAGGCATGTCCATCACTGCTCTGCTTACCCTACCTATTGCCATTAAATTAAATTTTAAAACATCACTAAATTCAATGAAAACCATTCTAATGGTCTTATCCCAGCAGCTGAAGATTTTCTCTTTTTGATCCAGCAAAATGAAGTTGAGGAACTCATTAAAGGGAGTACAATTGTAAAGGGAGATATGAGTGGGCAGACAAAACGTCCTAGCGAATAATGAACGATAAATAATGCAAGGCTGCCTCTCTATTGTTGTCTTACAACTCCCATCAACAACAATATTGTCTGGGATCCCCGCCGACAAAGGCCTCTCAGGCTCCTGGAATTAAAAGAGTGAATTCATCTTCCTTCAAGTCGGACCATTATTTATATAATTATAAATGCCCTTTAATGTTAAATATACATCGGCCGGATCCTAACGAAGCCCTAGGCAACGGGGGGTGTACTTTATAATATAATGAAGCGAGTAGAGGTCTGTGTTTAACTTTAATTTAGTTAATTGGCAGGGACTCGCTAAATTAAATTAATAAATAATAAGCTCTAAGGCAAGAGGTCTTCAAGGCTTGCTGCGTATCTTCAAGCTCGAGTAAATTTTATTTATATACAACAACAATTTTATTTTATATTTATTTTTACATATTTTTCTTTTATATTTATGTAGAAAGAGACATATAGATAGGAAAAAAACCATATAGATAGGCATAAAGATTGGGAATGATTTCTATTCACTCTCCATGTCGATGACTAACAGGTACTGCTTACTGCTTCAGAAGCAGAAGATGTGGAATATATGTAATGAGAACAATTTTGCAGGAATAATCAACTTTTGCGGTGGAAGTCAGCAAAGAAAAAACGGTACATATGACCTTTAATAGGCAATACGAATATCTACAATTGGAAATTGGATATTGAAAGCTGAAGCTCAATTTAAGTCTCATTCTAAGGAGCTGGGTGAATATGACAGGAACATCAAATATAGATAGTGAAAAGAGTATAAGCAACGGAAAGATACTCGGCAGAACCTTAAATTTGGTACTGTGGAATAAGCCAGAGTCCATAAAAAAAAAAAAAAAAAAAATTACAAATCGTTTCTGGAAATCGTAACGCTATATCCAGCCGAATTTTGGGCAATTAAAGAGATTCAATCAAAAATATTACTAGAATGGACTATTCTACAATGTAGGCGATCATGTGGTGTCTCTCGCCTACAAAAAGTTTCAAACTGTGAAATAAGGAAACGAGTAGAACAAATGGAGAACATTGTGCACACCATTAAAATTACGAGGTTGAAATGGTATGAGCATGTGATGAGAATTGAAGAGGGAGGATAAGTGAATTTGGGATTGGAAACCGGAACTTTGCCTCCATTATCAGACTGAAAGGAGTGGTAGAAAATAATGGCTTGACCTCAAGATATTGAACTAAATTATTAGTATTTAAAACGTAATAATTAACATCCAAGCCAATCCTGACACTGTCATCACCAGTTATGCCGATGACACATGTTGGCTATCTGTTAATAATGACCCTTACATTGCATCCAAAACGCTTCAATCTCATATCACAAGAATTGAAGAATGGTATAAAAATTGGAGAATCAATTAAATTCCAATAAATCCCATCAAATCACCAATAGCCTCCGTCGTAAACCTATGGCTTCCTGTCCTAAGCTACCTTGGACTCCACTTGCACAAACGTCTAACTCGGAATCATCACACCAAACTTAACCGACAAGACACCGCTCGACGTTTCCGACTACTTCAGCACTTACTAGACAAACGATCTTAGCTTTCCGTTAATTACAAAACACTTATATACATGACTAAAATAACACCTATTTGGACTTATGGAGTTGAGATTTGGGACTACACAGAGCCATCGGATTCCTCACGTATCTAATCCTTACAATCCAAAATCATTTGTAATATCCTCAATGATCCTTACTTTCTCATTAATAAATTCATCCATTACGACCTTAACGTTCCTTATGTTTCCGAATCGGCCTAGATACCTATCCTTCCATGATAAACTTCAGAATCATCCGAATCTGCTCGTTTTTAACCTTACTTCATCCTCGATCCCTCATAACGTACATCTGAAAAGAAGATGACCTCGAAATCTCCTATTGTAAATACATTTTTTTTTAGAGTGCTATCAGTGGGTTAGTGTTTTCATGTTTTTATTTTCTGTTATCACATTTGCTGAATGTATTTATTATTAATACAGTAGTACATATCATAAATAATTAATAAAAAATAAAATTGTTTTACAGCTATTTTGTTCCACGGTATAAGTCTTTGTTCATCGTTTTTAATTTTGAATAAAGTAATCGGAAATATGCGGAGCTGTGTATCCATTATGTAGATGGTAAAATAGGTAGACATTTTCTGTTTATTGTTACTGGTGAAGTCTGGTTAAACCTCTTTTATTTATACTACCAATCTCTAATGAATTTTACTTCTATTGCAAAAGTAGTACCGTTTAGAAACAGGCCACCGTTAAGCTATTCTCGGATTACACAAATAGAGGAAGAGCTCTACTGCATACAAACGCCTTGGTTCTTCTATTGGTACAGGTAAGCTCTTGCTATACAGGTGGGCTCAGCAATGCAGAATTAACAATTCTTTGTATATTTATCTATTTCGTTATAAATAAAATCCATTATACTTGCGAATTCTAGAAGAAAAGATTTCTTATTATATGAAACAATTGAATATTTAAATACCGTAACTTATATATTTAACAACCACGAGAGTT